TGAAGATATCAGTCAGTACTGGGCCTGGGCCTCAGTCAGAGAATTGACACTCAAGAGCATGGTCAGCCAAGCAGATGTCCTATGTCTTATTCTAGCTATGAACAGTTGACCTTTCCTGCTCTCTAAAGCAGATGCCTTCTCCATCTCTACCCCCACTTTCTTCCTTCTCTCATGCTTGCTCTCCTCTTCCTTCTCTTGCTTGTTCACCAGAGTTGCATAGAAGGCCCAGAATCTCAGCTGGTCCTGCCAGAGGTGGGCGACAAGGGTGTGTTTCCACAAGTTCCAGGTGAGTGTGAGGCTCACTAACCTTGGAGTACCTCAGTTCTAGTTCTGTTGAAGGCTGATATTAGGGATGGTAGGGTGGCTGCCTCGGCAGAGAATGAGCACCAAAGGCCAGTGCATATGCAGGCTTACTCTTTGATGGAATGGGGGCAGGGATAGGACCACACAGAAGACTGTCAGATGGTTGGTGGGACAACCCATAGATTTTTCACTGTGAGAGACCAATACCCTACAGTCTCCTGAAGAACGCAAATGTCTTGCCAGCCATTCCTGGTTCAAGAGAAAGAAGCCAGCAGAGAGAGCAGTCAGGCATTCTTTTATGCCAGTGAAGAAGAGCAAGGACTTGGAGCAATTGATCAAGATGTTGATGAAGATGATGAGTAATGCTTTTAATCCATGATGCCAAAAACATAGAATGTAGACAATTTCATATATGGAAAGATGTCAAATGCAAGTTGTTTGCAATAAGTCCTTTTTTGTTCTTACTTTGTTTTTACTGACCCCACGAGAAAAACCTTGAGGTAAACTATGTTGGTACACTTGCATTTTTAATAGCTTTGCCCACAAAGCTAATAAAACAGTTTCCACTTTCATCACAACTGGCTTTCTGCCACTGTAACAAATACTGAAGATGATCAGTGCACAAAGAGAGAAGGTTTATTCTGGCTTATAGCCCATGATTGGGAGGATAAATGCTTTGGGCTTATTGCAAGAAGTACGTCATGGCTGGAGTGCATGGGAGAGCAAAACTTTTCATTTTATGCCCAGGATGTCAAAGATGGAAAAAGGAAGTGATCAGGTGAAATTCCAGTGACACAAAGGCTTCCCGAGAGGCCCAACTTCTTAAAGGCACCACTACCCACCACAGGCCTATGGGAAGTACTTAAGACTCAAAATATATTCACCACGAACACAGCTAATGTGCTTACTATATGAGAAAAATGATACAGATTGCTTTGAATGGATATTACAAAACCATTGTCTCGTTACTATTCTCTACTTGATGGGACAAAATACCTGACACCCAAAATTAAGAAAGGAAAGATTTATTTAGTTCAGTTAGTGGAGGTTTCAGTCCATACTTGGCTGACTTAAAGGCAGCTGGAGGGCCAGGAACATAGCTCAGTGACACAGTGGCTACCTGGCAAGCTTGAGGTCCTGAGTTTGATTCCCAGTACCAAAAAAAGTTTATCTTTGGGGGGTGGGGAGATAGCTCAGTGGAATAAGTGTTTGCCTGGCAAGCACAAGGTCCTGAGTTAGATCCCTAGTAGCAGAAAAAAAAAGGCAGGTGGAACATGTGACAGCCATTCATGGCAGCAGAAAACAGCATAACAGCAAGAGCCAAAAAGGAGAAGCAGCAGGCATGGCAGCTAACAAGTCTCTCTCCTTTTCATATATTGCATTCAGGCTGTCTGCCCCAGGCTGGGTGCAGCACTCACACCCATAATCCCAGCACTGGATCATGAATTAATCACAAACCCTACATGCCTACCCCAATGACTGCATGAGGCTTCGGGGGGACAACTACACATAAACCATGACAACCATAAATCCTATGTACAATTTTACAAAGAAAGAAACAAAGGCTCAAAAAGAATTCTAAAAGTCACCAGTAAGTAGATTTCATACAGAATAATTTAAGAGTGTATATAAATCTAATTTAGAAGTTGCCCTATTTAACTAGCATTTAATTGCAAATGGCTGAAGCTTCATGTTAAACTTCAGATATTTTTTCTTATTGAAAAGAACAGATTTTGTTTCTGTAAAAATTTGGAATATTTGCCAACTTGTGAAGTGATGTGAATCAGGAGAAATATCCTGGTGTCTGCTGTGGTCAGGTGGTCAGTGTTTCACCCAGCTCCCTGTGAAGTGGATGGTACACAGTAATCGCAGCGGGTATTCTGTTACTGGTGGGCTCTGAGGACAACCTATGTGGTTGTGCTGCATGAAGAGTGACTGAGGGAGTGTGCCCTGCCACGTTTGAATACACTTAGTGCTGGTCGATGTGAGCTTGATTAGGCTTGGCAGTGTGATTTCCTGTTTTTAAGATAAAAGATCTACAGAAATTTATTAGAAAATTTCAAAAGGCTTTAATGATGTGATCACATACAGCTTCAAGAACACTCTTAAATAATTTAATTGCAAATGAATTTGAACCATATGTAGAAATTTTTTAATGTGCACATCAGCTTAACAGAGGATTACCAGATGATATATAAAAGATGTTGGATTGTATGTATAACCCAGAATTTTGAAGAAAGGAAAATTTCAAAATACTTGAAAAAATGTGGTTGACTTTTTCTAAATCCAAAGATTAGATAATGAGATGAACGTGTTTAGCAGAGTGGCATTCTTTCTTTTCTCTGTGCGAGTCACCCACACTGAGCTCTGTGTAGTCACAGGAACAGCTCCTGCTCTTGTGCATTTTGCTGCCTGCTGATAACTGTCTGGTTCATCATAGATAATGCCTGCTCTGCAGGCAAAGTGATCCTACTCTTGTAGGGAGCCTGTCTAGCCTTAACCCCCTTACCTTGTTTTTACTGGCCCTGCGATTAAAACCTTGAGGTAAATTTTGATACATTCATGCTTTTTCCCTTCATGAGCAGAAGGGCTTGGGGGGCAGGAATGAGAGGTACCTGGCTGAGGGTGGAGTTTAAATGAAAGAGGCATCATTAAGAGGGGACACACCTGAAGTGAGGGTGCATTCTGGCCACTGCTTGGCCCTAAACAGATGTGTGGCCTCAGGTGGGCTGCTTCACTTTATAACCTGTTTTGTCATGGGAATAGGATCTTGCTCACGTTCTTCAGGGCTATTTTAAGGACTAGGATGAGATCTTGTTGCAAATTGCAGGGTTCTGTCCAAAACAAGCCATGCCATGGGCTGTCAAGGGTGGCTTAGCCCTGTTGCCATAGGCTGGTTTGTGGGCCTGGCCCTCTTCTGGCTCCCAGTATGGAGTCACACAGGTTGGTGCCTTGGATGGGGGATGCCATAGTCTGATAAGGCAGTAGCTGTCTCTGCAACAGGGTTGTGTGGCCAGTGCACACAACCCTGTTGCAGAGACAGCTACTGCCTTATCAGACTATGGCATGCTGTGGGGCACAGCCTCTGGCTGGGAAACTCATATAGCAATACTTCTTTTTCCCCTAAGATCCTTCACTTTTAGGAAATTCTGGAGTATTTTTCCTATTACTGTTTTTGTTTTTTTTCAGGTTGTATTGTGCAGGAGTAGGGATTATTGGGCTAGAGTCTGTCATGAGCAGAGACCTGAGGCAGTTGTCCCCACGGCCCAGGACTACTGTGTCCTATCTAAGACACTGACTGGAGAGACTGTAGGCAGGAGCAGAACTGCAGGTGGAGAAAGCCACCCTTGTGTAGCAGCTCGTTTTCTAGCTCAATTACATAAGACTAGTGTGTGCTTCATTATGCTGGACTGTACTATTTGATTAAAACAAAAAAACTTTGCAATAATTACTGTCTCATATATTACAGAAAATATTTGTTGAACCTTTTAGGCTATTCTCCTAGTCTTTAGGAATGGGGAGTTCTGTGACTGATCAGGCAGCTCTAGCTCATCCATCAAAAGTTATTCCATAAGTTAGATTCATGATGTTGAAACCAGATGTGTGGCATTTCAGAATGGCCATCTTCAAGGGCTACTCATTTATGTGTTATAGAGGCTCATGCTAACTTATATTACCTTTCATTCTTACGTGTAACTGGGAGTTTTCCAGTCAAATAATGTGGTGAAAATTGATGAGGAGGTTAATTAGAGGAAAAAGGCTTAGGGGGTAACTGGCTCACAGTTAGAGACGTACCTGTGGTCCTAGCAGCATCATTAAATAGAGGTTAGAATTCGGTTTGCTACTGGGAATGGCCAATGCCATAGTCAGTCTGTCGGTAGCAATTGTTCTCTAACACTTGATACAAATTCAAACTTAAAGACTAAGGAGTGCCCACTAGATGGCCTTCCTTTAAAGAGGTTAACAATGAGAGTATTTCTTGAGATTAGTCAGTTTAGCCAGAGGCTTTTATAAAATCGATTTATGTCATGTGAAGAAAACAGCAAATACTGAGAATAGCAGGGATGGTGTGTCATTGTGGTGTTTGTCTGGAAGGGCAGGAGTTACTACTTGGAGGCAAAATTTAGACCTCAAAACAAAATTAGTAATCATATCTTTTTTTTTTTTTTTCAGAACTGGGGATTGAACTCAGGTCCTTGCGCTTGCCAGCGAAGCGCTTATTTTACTGAGCCATTTCTCCGGCCCCAGTAATCACATCTTAATGGTTCATTGTAAAGGCAGGGAGAATTATTCTTTTAAACATTACAGTGAATAAGTGGAGGATAGTTATAAATAGCTTATAATTGTCTCTGCTGTAGTTTTACACTGGCCTTTGGCTCTCACCAGAGAATATGTAGTTTTGGCCTAAAGGGGACAAGAGGAAATAGATGAAAAGGGATCAATAAAGAATCCAAGATTTCTAAATGTCAGTATCAATGCATGTTCATGTTTTCATTTTCATTTCTTGAGACCTCTTGGTATGAAATGTGGGAGGATCACAAGGACAGAGAAATAATCTTCCTGGGGTTGGCTACCAAAAATAGGTGTTTAAACTCAGAAGCTGATTGAAGCTGGATGTTTGCTGAGATGTCGTATATGTGACAGTAGGTACTAAGTGATGTACTGTTTAATGGTTCCTATGTCATGTCCTCTTTAAGAAAAGGAAGTGCCCAACAAGCCTTTGCGTGTACGTGTCCGGTCCTCAGACGACAGGCTGTCCGTGGCGTGGAAGGCACCACGCCTGTCAGGAGCCAAGAGTCCACGCAGATCTCGGGGTTTTCTTCTGGGCTATGGAGAGAGTGGTCGGAAGATGAATTATGTCCCATTGACAAGAGATCAGCGGACACATGAAATTAAGAAGCTGGGTAAGTTTAATTTTAACTGTCATACAACGCTTTGATGGCTGTCTTAGCTACTTTTCTCATTGATAAGACAAAACTCCTGATGCCCAAAGTGAAATCAGGAATGGTTTATTGTTGCTCACAGTTTGTGGAGGTTTCAGTCCATGATGAGCTGGCTCTAGGGCAAGATGGAATGGCATGGGGCAAGCCGAAACTCTCTTTCTGTCTTTTATATCCTACCCAAGCTAGGGTAGAGAGTACTCACACCTAGAGAGGGGTAGCCTTAATCCTAACATTGAACTATGAATCAATTTTAGCATCAGAACTTTGATCCCTGCACTACACACCCTACATCCAGCCACCTTCAAAGAGCCCCACCTATGACCACATGAGGCTTTGTGGGGACATGTAGATAGATACAAACATGGTATACCACCCTGACCCCCAAATGATCATGCACACTCCTTTATGAAAAGGCATTTAGTCCATCCTCAAGAGGGTCTCCAGTGCACCTTTGACTTCACACATTGTCCTCTAAGGGGCACCCTGTGTGTTCTTTGAGGCCTTCTTCTGAAATCTGGGTGTAAACCTTCCCACAATTCCTGCATTCTGTATGCACCTAAGGCCAGCACTGCATGGATGATGCCATGGCCTGTCACCAGCTGGAGCAGGAGGCAGGCTTCCTTCTCTCTTGGCTGCATGTTTCAAGTGCCTGGATCACTGAGCCCCCTGACTGCAATCTCAAGGATCAAATTCTCTAGGCTGCTACCATCCTATAACATGGTATTCTGGGGCTCTCTTTTCAAAACAAATTATTTTATTTCTGCAACCTTGAGGCTGCAAATGCTGGATTCCTTCTGTTCCTCATGTCATGCTCAGGCCATCTTCTCCATTGTCTTATTCTTTCCAAACAACCCAAGTTCTCCTTTGCTTTATCTCTGTAGTCTTCAGCTTTACTGGAGCATTTTTCTGGCCAAACTCACAGCGTTTTAAATCATTCTGCTAGACTATTTGCTTGTGATTCATAATAGAGATCTAGCTGAAAGCCCTCCAAAGTAGCCATGCCAGTACCTCCACATTAGACCACCTTGAAATTTCTTCTGAAAGATTGATTAGTCTACTGCCCTTAATCACAGTCTCAGGCAAAGTCTCTGGAAATGAGCAAAAGACAAATCAACTTTCTTCTAAGGCATAACACACATCATTTGGAGTCCAACAGCCAGTGCAATCCTTCTTCCCAGAAGAAACCTCCCCAGCCTGGTTTTACCAGCAACATTTCCTACCAGCCTCTTGGTCTCCTATAAAGAATGGTTCAAGCATTCCAGGGCTACTTCTTTAGCTGGCATCTGTAAATTCTTCCAGCCTTTTCCTACAAGCCAGTTCCGAAGACCCCTTAACATATGGTCCAGGAGCCAAAGCAATGACCCCACCTCTGTGGTACCAAATTCTGTGTTACTTTTCTTGTTGCTGAAACAAAATACCTGACAGTGAAAATTGAAGGAGGAAAGACTTATTCTGGCTCACAGTTTGTGGAGGTTTCAGCCCATAATTGGCTGGTTCCAAGGCAAGTTGGCATGGCAGAGGGTGTCACAGAGGAGAAACAGTTCATGGCAGGCAGAAGGCAGCATAGAAGCAAGGTATCAAGCCGCAAGCCACAAAAAAGGACCCTTTTGTCCTTTATAGTCCATCCAGGCCACCTACCCTAAGTACTCACATCCAAGGCAGGGCACCCTAAATCCTACCCAAAGAGATGCCAAGCCAATCGGTAGACTGATTTAGTAATCACACACCCTTGATCCCAGCTTCACACATTTTAGATTCAGCCACTTCTGAAAAGCCCCACCTAAGACTGCATGAAGCTTTGGAAGGGGCATCTAGACACAAGCCAAAACAATGTTTTTCTTTTTTTTTTGTGAGCATTTCAATATCTGGAAGGTGTTCATGACAGAACACTATTTTAGCTATAATAATCATTTTCTAGGTGTGATAATTATTTGAAGTCATCTCCTTGGTTCTATCCTCTAAGGCTCCATCAACTAAACCTTATGTAGGGTTAGGGCAAGGATATCTTCTGAGTTCCTTTCTTACTCAATAGCACTGAGTCCCTGAATCAAGCCATTTTTCTACATGAGGGCAGGGCTGATACATCTACCAGCTTGCCTTTATTTTCATTATCTTAAAATCTTTTTTTTTTCCACAAATAATACACTGCATATATTATTCTTAGTGGTTAATTGCTGTACAAGAT